CAAATAAAGTAAAGCCACGAGTATACATGATATAATCTCGAGCTTTAAGGATAAATTAAGCGATCAATAACTGGATAAAAGGATTTACAGGAAAATGAAATAAATTTTGTTGATCTTTATTTTTCACTTTTCACTAAAAAAAAAAAAAAAATCTTTTTTTTTGTCAAAATTTTGTAAGTTTCTAATATTCTAATCCGCCAGGTTAATAATATATATTGATGATGGTTTATTGAACTAACCTTTGGATTTCTTCTTGTGTCAAATAGCAAACGAAACAATCTCGGCAAGTCAAAAAAAAAAAAAAAAAAATCAAATTTATTGAAAAAAAATGACACTATCAGAAATGTATATCAACTTCAGAAATTCTACACAACTTCCACACCTTTCACACCTTTCACATCTTTTTCACCTTCCTCACCTTCCTCAACTTCCCCACTTTTCCCTCTCCAAAGAAATGAAGTCACAAATAACATTTGTATTATTGTCAGCAACGATTGCATTCATCGTTGCATTTTCGCTTGACTTAATGTTATCAAGTCTATTTGATATGAATCGTAGGAAAAAAAAACATGTCCCTCTTCCCTCAAAAATCTCGGCTTCTATTTCTACAAAAAAATTATCTAGCTGTCAACCTCCGCAAAAGCCTGTAAATTTAGGTACGTAAATGACTTTCATCGAGTGAAGATTTTTGAAATTAGGTGGGAGTTTTAATGAGGAAATGATTAATTGAGCACCTCTTATTTTATTTTTTTTTAAAGACGCTTTCAAAGGATAGCCGATTTCATTTACTTATATTGAATTTGTGTCTTTTTTTTCTTTTCCTGTCGATAGTTTGGAAATTCCCCGGTTGTATTCTTTTAATTTTCATGATTTGAAATATTTGGTTGATTTCTGGTCGATTTTTTTCTTGTTGACGAAATGGGATTCTTTTGCTTATTACTCTAATAAATAAATAAAATAAAATACTTTCAACAAGGAGTAGATTTGTAATTATGTTAATAAATTTTGTTATGTGAATATTTGTATTTGGACCGAACTTATAAATCACGTGTTTACGCCTCAATGCAGATCTAATAAAATTAAGGTTTGTTTCATAATGATCCGTTTTGATGATTTTTGGATTATCAACTAATATTTATAGGATATACAATTTTTTATAAGAAACTGATTAATTTACATCATCAATGTATAATTAATCATGTGACATATATTGTATGTAGAACACATTTGGCGTAAAAAAAAACCCCAAAAAAAAATTCTTTCGGAATTTTAACCACGATAATTTTTCTCCTCGTCTTCTCACATTTATTAGTATACTAAACTAAAGACACTCATTTAATTCTGGATATTCCTTATTCGTATGTCTTCAAGGATAATGCAATTTATACTTTTCATCGTATTATTTAACATATTGATAACGATAATAATGACGATTTTCTCGTACATAATTCCATTAAACGAAAATATAAATCATCAGACAATCAAGAATGAATATTCCAAAGGAAAGAGCCTGGAGAACAATCTTGAAAAAAACAAAAATTTCATTTATCAAGAGTCATGGTTATTGAAATTAGAATGTTTACAATGTCCTGAAAGGTTTGAAAGGTGGAGTAAAAAACTCATCGAAAAAAATCACAGCGTGGTGGATTTAATGATTAAAGGAAAGGAAGGAGAAAAGAAGGAAGGGATTGAGGTAGAAAACAAAAATGGGAAGGATGTTAAACTTTTATGGGTGAAGAAAACTGATGTAGACGTTGTGCAGATAAAGGAGGCGGAAAATCAAAATTGTGAAAGAGAAAAGATGAAAGAATGGATGAGTGAAAGAATGGAAGATAATGAGTGGTTGAGAGAATGGATGGATGATGTGGTTGGTTAAGCATGATCACTCCTATGAAGGTGTTTTACTAATCAAAGTCATTTCAATTTTGGATTCAGTATTAATGATAACGATCGAGATATATTTGGTTAGTTAAGGTATTTTTTTTTTTTTGTTGATGCACCTTAATGTAATTAATTGTATTTACTTATAACATTGTTAAGCAAGCTAAATTTGAAAATCATGATTAATAAAAATGCAACATTTATAGATTTTTATTCGAATGATGAAATTAAATTTTTTACTCCTATTTATTGTCTTTTAATAAAAAATTTTCAATTTATTTTTTTCCTACAAGATAAATTCATTTTTTGGTGTAAAACACTATAGAAATGCTGTCGTTAAACGGTAAAGGGAAGAAGAATTTAAATGTTTTTGAATAAACAATATATTACATAATAAAGTAACCTTTTCGCTTCGTAAGATCACATGACAATCACTCGTACCCAAACAAGAATCCCATAATCTACCAAGATCACTTATAAACCTTGCACAAATATAGTTAATTTCCTCAAGAATCAAGTCAACTTGAGGATTTTTGCCTAGTCATTTATCTTAAATTATAGTGATGATTGACTATACTATCCAAGTTCAGAATATGATTATTTTGCTGCATCCACACCAACAAAAAGAACCCTTTCTTCGGAAAAGGATTCAACTATGAATTATTTGGTACTAAATGTGGTGAACAATAAATTGATTTAAAAAGAATAGAGGGGAATGGAGGAAAATTGATTTCGGGAATTCTTTTTGATAATTTTTCAATTGCTCCACGAAATCTAAAATAAATATCACCATCGTAACGCATTGATTACATTGCATTTCATCACCAAAAAAAAAATTCCCAAAATACGCAATTCTGGAAATTTTGAATATCCCTTCAATATAACAAAATAAATAAATAAATAAATAAATAAAAATTTTATAAATAAATGAAATGCTCTGTAACATTGTTCCTTCACCATAATGAATCAAAATTTCTTCCTTTAACAATTCTCAAAACTGACGTAATGCCCAAAATTTTACAATTTATAAATTTGGTAATTGTTTGTCATCATACTGCGGAAAATGATGTGCGAATAATATCACGTGACTATCGGTGAAACATTATCGGAATAAACCAAATCCGATGATAATCAGAGATAAGATTTAAGTTAACGTCACGTGATAATTACAGATGGTGTCTGTCCTTAAATGTACCCCGGGTTCAGGCTCTTATCCTGTTAGGGATGGAATTTAACGGTTAAATGGTTAATTAACATTATATATATATTTTTTTTGTATTCTAAATATAACTGTGTAAAAAATTTTAAAAAAGTTTCCTTTTGTTTTGATTGGTCAACTAAAAATATCCTTTGGTTAATTATCCTTTGGTTAATTAACGGTTAATTAACGCCCATCCCTATAACCTGTAAAAAAATTTATTTATACATGGGTTTAGGATAATAACCTAATACCAGAGTCTAGGATAAATTTGCCCGATCAACTCGTCTATATAAAATTTATATATAAAAAAATATTAGCCCTGTTCAATTCTAGATCGGATCGGATTGACCGCAAATGTGCCCTTAAATGAAACCGATCCACGATCCTGATAAACTACCGTGACGCGTGCTAGTAAACAACCATATTTATTGTTTACAACATGATTCGATCGAGCCGTACAAAATTGTGCTCAATTGTAACTATGATTTGATTTGTTACTTTTTTTTCCGATCCGAATGATCCGATCCAGAATTGAACAGGCTATTAGCCTTGTTCAATTTTAGATCGGATCGGATTGACCGCAAAATGTGCCCTTTTATGATTGGTTATTAAATCAATCAGCGGTCAGTCAAACCGATCCACGAAAATAAGGTGATCGCCTCTGATCGATCCTGATAAACTAACATAACGCGTGCTAGTAAACAACATTTATTTTTTACAACAAGATTCGATCGAACCGTACAAATTGTGCTCAATTGTAACTATTTGTTACTTTTTTTCCGATCCGAACGATCCGATCCAGAATTGAACAGGGCTATTATTTCCCCACTATATGGGACCTTTGTAATAGAAAAAAAGGGGAAATGGCTGGAAAATTATAATGCTAAATCTGAACATATTTTGATCTAAAAATCATATTTGGCATAAAATTGATTTTTTCCGGCAGTTTCCCCCTTTCTATTGCAAAGGTCCCATATATATGTGTGAGGAGTATAATTTTATACATGCAAATAAGGTTTGACTGTACCCCTTTCTGGTACGGGCCAAATGAGTCCTTAAAATATTTTTTTACCGACTGTATGTACTATTACAATGTATTTTTTTTTGGAACTTTCTCACGAAAAATGTTAAAACTTTTGTAATTTTGTCTTTTTCAAAAAAAAACTTTTTTTTTTAAAAAAAATTACAATATTCAATCATCCGAAATCGAGACGTTTTTATACTGAAATCAATTCTTATTTATCAAAAACTCGATATAACGAGTCTTTTCTGTTAGTCGTTATATCGAATATTTGATAAATCAAATCTACTGAATATATAAAATTCAGTTATCAAAATTTTTTAGAAAAATTGCACATTATTTATTAGAAAAATGGTATCGGCTTAACGCGATTATACATATAAACTGTGTTTACATTCGGTATTTGTAATATATCACGAACGCGACATTTATAATAAAATCGGTATATATCATTTGTGATTTGGTTTGAGGGAAAAGGTTTTAGTTATGAGCCAATATCGGCTTATCCCGAACCTTAATCTCAAATTCTGAATATATCGCGATCTGATTAAGAAATCTTGATTCCAAGAAAAAAAAGTCCTAATTATCGAGACCGCCCGCATATAGGTTTTTTTGGATGGGCGTATCAAAAGACCATTACAAATGACAATAACCGTCAATAAGCCTGTTGATCGATTGGCCTTTATGGTTCTTTTTACTTTTTGTATCACGTTGTTATAGATCGTGATTATTTTTTTATGTTTAATCCAAAATAAATAAATAAATAAATGACGCATTTAGAAAAGACGCGTAACCGATAAATAAATTACTAATCTTACTAATTTCATTTCCGTCGATTTATTATTGATCTCTGTTTATGAATCTCGAACTTTTAAATTTTATAAAGTTCTGTCATACGTAAAGATCTGTCCAATCAAATCAACCAAGTTTTGTAAAACTGTGGTCGATTTGATGTTTCATTTGATTGGCCAGATCGTTTGTACGACACAAACTTCAAAATTGCTCTAACGAAATCAATAAACAAAAACATTTTTTTCTTTAAATTCAATAATAAAAAAAAAAATAGGGACAGTCTGAATCCGGTTTGAAGTTATTCAAGACTCATGTTGTGTGATACAACAAAACAATGATCCAGACCATTCAGGTTTGAAAAGGTCAATATTACTTAAGCAACTTCATTCATGATTTCCTTAATCATATTTATCCTTCGTAAGACATATAAATCGGGCATGAATTAATAAAAATGAGTTCGATTACAACTTAATAATATGACACAAATACCGTGTAACAGGTTTTTTTATTTTTATGGCAATTCATTCTCAAATTGAACAAAGTAATTCCGCCTTGCGATAAATCGATTATGCGCTTATAAAGACTTAAAACTAATTGACCTTTGAAATACAATATATTTTTTACTTTAAATCCTTTTGCCGTTATCTTTGATCTTGAAAAAGCCTCATACTTTTTGTAAATCAAGGACACATGATATATAAACATTGCATATTGGATAAAGGAAAAATAATAAATAAAAACATTTGGATTGTCCCGTGTAAATAAGGCTGACACCACCATTTGATATTTTCTTTGAATCAAAAAACTCCCACAAAATGTCAGATATTTGCTTTACATAATGTTTAAAAAAAAGTTGAACTTTTCGTAATAAAGTAATCATAACGTCATCATGTGCGGTTTTCGCATGTAAAGAAGTTGATGTTTTTGATATTTTTTGATTTTGACTTTATCATTTGCCCCAACAAAATATTTTGAAATCGGTTACCCGCGCCATTTTGGCAACTTTTTATTTAGATCTGGGAACTTTACATCTTATTTCCAAGTAAAGGTTTAATCAAATTGTTAATCTTATTTTTTGGTTCATTTTAGGGATATTAAAAAAACAATCATTACCGGATGAAAATACTATTAAATGAGAGAATGTGTCACGTCATGCCAAAAATATGCCAAAAAATCCCAAAAAAAGAGCACAAAATATGTGCATCAATCAGTCTTACATTTGTATTATTCCGGAAAAACTTCTTTGATAAAAAAAATCATTTCCAAAAAAAAAAAAAAAAAAAAAAAAAAATTCATTTTACTTTTTTTTTTTTTTTTGATATAAACGAAAATTTTAACGAACGTATAAATATTTTTTTTTATTATAACTTCCTCCAAAAACAAATTTGCTTATTTTTTTTTTTTTTCACGACACGCTCCCAATTTTTTTATATTTAAATTTAAATATGGGTAAATACAAAAAACCTAAGCAACCGGGATTTTATCATGTTTATGATATAAAATGTAACATACATGCGACTGATGTCAAAGTTGCTCCACCTCCACCTCCACCTCCACCAAATCCGAATAAAGTTATTAATTTTGGAGAAAGCAACAGCGACGAAGACTTGGTATATGGATCTGGGTATATTTTCTATCGTAAAATAGAAGTTTTATTAAATAATTCCAATAAATCACGTCTCGCGGAGAGAAATATGAAAGAAGGCACGAAAAATATTCCTCGTCGTCAAAATTCTTGGATTCTTTATCGTAGAGATAAAAGTGCCGACCCGAAATTCTTAAAGATGAAGTCCTCTGAAGTTTCGAAAGAAATTCAAGCAATGTGGGCGCAAGAGCCAAGCAAAGTTAAAGAAATTTTCGTAGCTCTTTCAAGATTGGCCACAAAAAAACACATCGAAAAACACGGTAAAAACTACCGATACAGACCAAAGAGAACGAAACAAAAAGAGGAAGATCATATTGACAGTAGTTCAGAAACTTCACTTACCAAAGAAAATCAAAATTTCGTCTCACCGCAAATTAATTTCCCACCCATCGAATCTCTTGAATTCGATTGTAAGAAAATTTCACCACCACCCCTTACTCAATACGACTTATATATGTCGTCGTCGTCTTACCCAGACAATTATAATTTTTCGTCATTTTATCATGACACGGTTTTACAAAACCCCATAAATTTTTTTCCAACAAAATTTTTGAATCATAATATACCCGAATTAAAACAGCAAAACGAGCTCATGTGCGTCGATTATATTGAATGTACTCCAGAAGGTATTTTATTTGGTGAAACTTTTATTTATCTTTCTTTTCTTCAAAAAACCTTCTCACAATTTTTAATTCTCACAATCATTTATAGAGTATACATTTCAACTTTATTGAGAGAAAAAAAAAGGATTTGGGGCCTTTTCAGCAGTCATTTCCGTGACCATTTCCGCAAAGAGTCACATTTATTACATGTGGCGCCTTCTTTGTTAAATATAATAATAATAGTAGCGCGACGAATTGTAGAAATGATTGATGAGGTTGCTATTGTAAAGGCCTTTTATCTTTCCCTTTAGCTTACCACATAAAATTAGAATATGTACTGTATATACCAAAAGAAAAGTCACGGGATTCGTGTTACGTTTATTCAAAATTCGTATTTTAAGAAACCAATAAATATAAATCTAAGCTCATTTCATTCATTGACTTTTATGACTTGGAATTACGATATCAGCGCGATGATTAGCAAATTATTATGTATTGTTATTTGTCACCCCTTTAGTATTTTGGAACAGAAAATCAAAAATTCTATTTGTCACGCCTTTTATTTTATCATTATTAATTAACATTACAAAATTTTATTACATGAACATGGTCTTTGCAATTCCTAATCCAAATTTAATTGCAGGAGCACAACTTACAGCAAATTTTATGTAGTCTAATTTACTTTTTTCAGATTTTTTAATTTGCTTTTGTAATAATTCTATTTCTGAATCCTTTTCTTTTTTAATTAAAACTAAAGTTAATTCATGTTCATGTTGCATTCGTTCTATTAAATTAAAATTTACATTGTTTTGTTTTTTAATATTTTCTTCCAAATCTTTAAGTTTAATAGAAAGTTTTTCTTCCGTTCTTTTACGTTCATTTTCTAATTTATTGACCTTAAATTGCATCTCTTTTTCCCGAGAAGCATGTTCTAAGCATTGTTGTTCAGCTTCTTGATATTTTTTAAATTGATTTACCGATTCATCATCGAGAACTTGAAATAAATGTAACGTCTCGATCGCCTTTTGATATTCCCGAGCCTTAAAACCTGCCAAGATCATTTCTGCTTCTGGACAATCTAATATTAAAGCATCCACGATCTCTTTCTCAAACTTTGTGATCGCATCATTAAATTCCTCTCGAGTCTATCAAGGTTATTTAAAAAACAAGTTAGGTTCAACATGTATAAAAAAAATTAAATGAGAAAAACTGATGATTAAATTACCTTAAAGAAACTTTTTAAATCAACGAGACCAACTTTTACGTGACGATCCCATAATTTTTTGATCAAACTCATATTCTGTTCATATAAAGCGTAGGAATTTGATTTATGAAATTCTTCAAATTTTTCATTAATCGATTCTATTAGTTTGTTTTCATATTTCTTTATTTGGGATCCACTTCCGATGACCCTTTTAAAGAATTCCTTTTCGACTTGATTATAGATTTCCACATGAATTTCATTAAAATCTTCCCAATTAAGAACCTTCAATCGTTGCTTTCTACCGTCGTCATATGGTTGTTGTAACTTTGAATTCATACTTGTGACATACATTTGAGTACAATGTTTAATGGATTGTCGTGCAACGTATCCAATAACAGAATCGTACTCGCTTGGAATCGATAGTTGAAAATTGGAATTTGATGTATCATTTAATTTTTCGACACATTCTTGAAGGAATTTCGTAAATGATAAACCCGTCATTAAGGATGATCCGATGTACTTTGGCGTTGAAGTGGATAAAATACTTTTGACCGCCCTAGATACTTCAGTGACGAACTCGGGTTCTAATTCTTCTGTTGACAATTTATCCAAATTCTGTAGTCGATTACGATCCGACAACGGAATCTGCAAAAACACGAAAAATAAATTTAAAGATGTATACACTTGAGAATGGTTGTAAAATTCACATGTGATGCGTGTATGTAATACACTACCGGAAGACCAAACACATCAAAATCTGAGAAATATTTTCTAATACTTCCCGTAGCTAAGGATAAAGACGATATTAATTTCTCATAAAAAAAAAAAAAAAAAGAAAACATCTAAATCCAAATTGCATACCTTCATTATCAACAAGATTTAATTTTTCCAAGAAATAACCTTTAAAATCATCAGGATTTTTTAACATGAAATCCCTCAGCAACACAACCATTTTGGGTAAGAATTTATAATCCGAAGGGGGTGTAATGAATTTTGCTAAATCGGTCATCAAAAGCAATTTTTCTATATCATCTCTACCGATGACACCATTTAAATTATAAATAAACGTTGAAGATATTGCTATACATAAAATGAATAATCTCGATGCCCATTGTTGATTTTGCTTTGGATCATCAATCCCTTCACAATCTAGTATAATCATCCGTTTTCCTTGATGAATAAATGGTTTATTCCACATATAAATTCCTTGTGTACAACCCTCTGCTGTTGTACCTAACACGAATCCGTCATGTCTACCGTGTAATACATTTGCGAACCATGATTTCCCTCTACGATATGATCCAACTATCAATAGATTATACGGTGTTAAATTTTGTTAGCTTTGATGAACGACGATTGTTTTACTTACTGATAGCGATGATTGAAACTGGTTCATCAAATTCTCTAATGATATTTATAGCCTCTTCGTTTATTTTAATTTCTCCAAATTCATCATGATTTTTTTTATTATCGACGTAATTTAAAAGTTGAATTGGTCTGCCCTCATGAAACGGTATCCCTTCTCCAAATTCATTTTCCAAAAATGCAAAATCGTATTCATCGTCCATCCTTAATTATATGAATTTTTTTTTTAAATAAAAAAAATTACGACAACCGTGCCGGTGGGATTTTTTTTTTTTTTGTTTTATAAAAAAAGGAATAGAAAAAAAGGAAAAAAAACAACTTTATTCCAAAATTATTTTCTTTTATTTCATAACATAAACTTTGTTAAGTTTATCCAATCAATCATCAAATGAACTTTCAAAAATGGGTGAACACAAACGTGTATTGTTGTACATGTTTCCATATTTGGCAGGAACTTCGAAAACCGAACCGTTTTTTGAAATTTCTAATAGGAATTGAAAATTCCGATTGAATAATAAGTCTCAGCCGAAATGACTAAAACAAGGTACTACCGCAGAATCAATGGGTCCGGTAATTGGATCGGGTTCTTTCTTTTTGCGGCTGTATTTTATTGTGTTTGATGTAAACTTTAAACTATATTCTCATTTTTTTTTTTAATGTACATGGGGGATTAACCATTAGATCCTTTTTTCTTGTGAACCGTTTAATATTTATTTTATCTTCATATTTAACTAAGAAAATTGTTTTTAAAAACTGAAGCCCTAACTTTGTAGTTCATTCTAATGATTAATTTTCGATATACTGTTTATATATACATCTTTTCTTTCCAAAAAAATTTTTTTAACAATAAATTAACGATAGAGAATTCATTTGGAAAAAAAATTTTTGTTAGAAATCTTTATTTATACTCTTGCCCTGAATAAAAAGTTTTTTTACGTATAATGATTAATTGTAAAATGATAAATTCAATATAATGTTCAATTAAGCAACTTTTCTTACAACGTTGCTAACCAGGAAGCCATGATCATTACAGTAATCTTTTATAAATAAATCATAGAAATCGCCACATTAACGGTTTTGCAAAATTAAATACATGTGATATAATTAACCTAAGAATTATTAAAAGGAAATTTAAAAAAACCGTGTGTTTTTCCACAATTATCAGAACAAATAAAGAAATTAAAAATTAAAAAATTTATTCTTCATAGAATTAATAATTTTTTAAAGATTGTTTTCTACGAACTTCTAAAATGCAGGGGTGCATATAAAAGTATTCCTTCATAAAACATAACAGATCATTGCCTAAAATGATGTAAAACGCCCGCCGGAAATGAAATGAGGAAACTTCTTTTCTAGATTTAAGGAATAAAGTATATATATAATAGGTAGTGCTTTGGATGTTGCAACGAATTTATAATAATCATGAATCAATTAATCAACTTTAAACATAAAATTGACTTTTTAATATCAAATGACACATCTAGCCAGCAAATGCAACCCGTGGCTAACTTAATGCCTATATTTAAATTTGAAAAATGTATTGAATGTAAAAGAAGAAGAAAACCATCTGTAGAATATAATAATATTTGCTATTGTTGTTATAGAATAAATAAACCTTTAATCCAATTGGAAACAAGATTATTGACGATTTTTTCAAATTTACACAAATTAATAATTATAAAGGCAAAATGGAAACGGTTTCATATGATAAATTCGAAAATTTAGAATTAATAGGCGAAGGAGGGTTTAGTAAAGTTTATAAAGCTACTTGGAATGATGGTCCAATTGTTTGGTGGAATAACAAAGAAAAAATATATGAACGAGAACCTAAGATAAAAGTTGCTCTTAAGAAACTTAATAATTCTAAAAACTTTACTTCAAAGGAGTTAAATGAGGTACATATTTTTATATTTATTTTATTTATTTATATAATGTGCTAAATTATTATCCTTTTTTTTTTTTTTAGCTTAAAATGTATTATAAATTGAAACGAGCAAATAATATTAATCGATATTATGGAATTACGCAAGATCCAATTACCAAAGATTTTGTGATAATAATGGATTATTGTGCTTCTGGAGATCTATTCCATTATATGGCTAAAGATTTTTTTAATGTTAGTTGGTCAACTAAGTTAAACCATTTATTCAACATTGCACTTTTCCTTTATCGCATTCATATAAATAAAATTATTCATCATGATCTTCATAGTGGAAATATTTTGATAGAATGTAAACAAGTTATGATAGGTGATTTAGGATTGAGCAAATCTGCTACTGAAGCTGAAGATAATGAAACCTATGGAATTATTCCATATATGGCCCCAGAGATTCTTCAAGGACAGAAATATACCACGGCTTCAGAAATTTATAGTTTTGGTATGATTATGTGGGAGTTTATGACAGGTAGAAGACCTTTTTGGGATCGTGCTCATGATACAGATCTGATTATTGATATTTGTGATGGATTACGTCCTCGAATTGGTGATATAAACGCACCTAAAGGTTATATTGCGTTAATGAAACGATGCTGGGACCCTGATCCAAGTAAAAGGCCAGTGAGTGTAAAACCCTGGCGGAGTTGCATTGCGAATACAATTATTGGCATTCAAAGTAATGAAGATAGTAATCCAACTGTAATTGTAGAATCATCAGAAATTGGACCTATAACTACAAACAATCCATGCGCTATTTATAAGAGTAGATCTTTAAGTAGCATGATAAAATCCGCAGAATCCACGAGAAGTTTACGAAGTCAACCCGTTTCTTCGGGTTTTGGTAATTAATTTGTTTTATAATATTAAAAAAATATGTTTATAAAAATGTTATTTAATTGAACATAAATATTTAGGTTCGTTTAATTATTATCAGAAAAGCAGCACCTTTAATGGTAATTATTTATACTTTTATATACACTACCCTGAAGAAAGTATCCGGGCACAGTTTTTTGTGAATTGTGACTTAAGTTTATATGGTATAAAAATATTATTATTTATATTTTTATATAGTGCATATTTTGATGCATTAATTGGATATATTTTTTTTTCGTTTGAAACTACTTTACGTATCATGCATTTATAAATAAATGAAACTTGTTACAATTAAAAATACCTCAAAATGCAATAATTTTCACATTTTCTAAATTATTTTGACAGGTAATTATTCAATTTTAATCAAGCACACCTTGACAGAAAGATCTAGGTGAGGTGAGTATGATAGTTTTAATTTTATATCTCCATAATCAGTATTTTATAAGATATTCACATTTATATATTTTAAGGTTAATCAAAGTCAAAGATTGTATTTTATTGTTTTATAAAAAAGTTTCTTAATGCATTTATAAAAAATTTGAAGAATAATGTTCTAGATAGGATAGAAAGAAATTATTAACAATATTGTTAGCTCAAAAGTTATTAAATTTAAAAAAAATTATAAATTTTTTGATGCCCGGATACTTTTTTCAGGGTAGTGTATTTTTCTAAAATTTCAGATTAATTGCATTTATATTCATTGAAATCGTCTTGGTATAGTGAATTACTAATTATATACAATGTTAATTATTTTTTTAATTTTGAATCAAAATTTTAAATCAAGTTTTGTTTATAACCATCTTATTAATTTGAATAAAAAATTTTTTTATTTATTACAATACATTTTATATTTTATATTTCAATGAAAATTTATTTTTCAAAATAGTTTTTATAAAAAAAATGATTATTTAACATAAAAAATTTCTGATTTTTAACATGATAAAATTATAGGTACTTGAAGTGTAGTTTTAGTGAAAGAAAAATTAGTGAAGTACTAAATTATCCAAAAAGTACTACTCATAATATTATTTTTATATATAAAAATGGTGATATTAAACACTTCCTTCTTGAAGTGGTAGATCACCTATTTTAACTGAAAGGGATAATTATCATTTAATGCAAATTCTTAATAAAAATCATAGAATTAATATTAATACATTATGTAAAAATTTTATTACTTTTACTTTAACAAATGTAAGCCAAATTATTCTTAAAAAACATCTTTATAATAATGGAATTTTTGGAAGAATTAGAATAAAAAATACTTTTTGTAAATGAAGCTAATAAAATAAAAAGATTAACATAGATTAAAAACAGAAAAAATTGGAAAATAAATGGGAAAATATTATTTGAAATGATGAATCTCAATTTGAAGTATATAAAGGAGTTGAAAAAAGGTATGTTTGAAGAAATGCTCAAGAAAAATATGATTCAAAATATTTTATTTCTATATTTAAATCAGGTCAACAGAGTATTATGATTTGGAATTATTTTACAAAGAATAAACTAGGTCTATTGATCAGATTAAAAGGTAGAATAATAGTAAATATATATATAGATGTGTTAAATAACTATTTATTACCATTTATAAATAGTTTAGAAAATAAAAATAATTATATTTTCAAGAAAATAATGCCCTATTTACAAAGCAAAAGCAGTAAAAAAATATGAAATAGAAAATAAGTTTATAAGCTTATCATAGCCTGCATAGAGTCCAGATTTAAATCCTATAGAAAATTTATAGAATGAATTGGATAGAAAGTCAGAAAACATAAACCATTACAAAAAAATCAAGATGATTTATAATAGATTTTGCAGAACAAATAGCTAAAACTTGATAAAAGTATATATAAAAATCTTGTTGATAGTATGTCATATCGTATTATTGCTGTTATTGAAAATAAAAGTAATCCTACAAAATATTAAAAATAAAATTATAAAATATATATTTAAATGATTAATATAAAAAAATTTTATTCAAATTGATGCGATAGTTTATAAGTTATCTCAATTTAAAAATTTGATATAATTTTTCAAAAAAATGATTAATATTGCAAATGTTCAGTGACTTTTAATACCTTACTATATATTTAATAAAAATAAAATATTAGTAAAAAAACCTAATTTTGAAATTAATTTATTTTTTAAAATAGTAAATATTAAATTTATTATTTAATAAATTTTAGTTTATTTAACAAAAAAATATTAAATATCAATCATTAATAAATATTTTAAATAATTTAATACTTACAATTTTAAATATTTATAATATAATATTTTACTTTGAATTTTATAATTATTATATAATATAATTTCTAAATTATAAAAATAATTATTTCTTAAACTGTAAAATAGACAAATTTACCTGTAAACATAAAAAAAAAATATTAATTTTTTAATAAAATATAAATTATTAGTTTAGTATATATTTTATCAACTTTCTTAAAAAATTTAAGTTTATTAAGAAATTTTTTTAAATAATTCAATTTTACAATTAAGTTTTAAAATATTTATTATAATAATTTTTCAAAAATTTTCTTAAAATTCATATGTTTATGAACTAATTAAATCACTTTACTACTAATAAAAATCATAAAATTTCTTAGTAAATTATAAAAATTGTAATAATTAAAATTATTCTTCATAATAAATTTTTATAATATTTTATTATGATTAAAGTAAATATTAATAAGATTGTCAAAGGTTAATAATAAAATTTTTTAATTAATATAAACTTTTTTTCAGTAATTCCTTGACTAAGAATTTTTATATAAAAAAATATATATATTCAAGATAGTCATGGTTTAGTCTATAAATAAAATATAAAACTTTTTTTTCAAACTTCTTCCTCTGTTTATTTCTCATACTCTTATTCAAAAAATAATCAGTTTTTAATCTAAATAGTGATATATTTTTAAAATATTTTTTTGTTATTTTTGACAATTTTTTTCATTTTTTTTTCTTTTTTGCTTATAAAAGTAAGTATTAGGAGATATCTAAATTGATAATCAAAGATTAATAATAATTTTAGATATAAATAAATCACTTGTAATGACTATCTAATTATCTTTCTAAATTAATACACTCTTTAAAGATCTTTGATCTTATATAATCTGCTGATTCTAGCAGAATTTTTTAAACTTTACAATTGTATAATTTGAATCTTATACTATGTCAACTATTAGCTATAATCTGAAGTAATAGACATTTAACCTAAAAGTTAAAGAACTGATAAAACTTAATAATATAAATACTTCTGATAAAAACTTATCAAAGTTGTAATTTTTTATTAGTTTTTTTTTAGTTTAATATTAATACAGATTACTTATTTTTGTATTAAAATTAAATTTAAGATATGTGTTAATCATTAGGTAAAAAAGAAGAATATAATAATAGCTAAATTATCATATATTAATAAAAGCTCTCTTAATGATTTTTTCTATAGTATAATGAAATAATCGATTAGTCTGAAACTAATAAGCTTTTTACTTGCAAGGATATTTTAAGTAGTAATTTTATTGTTCTCTTGTACCTTTTAGTATTTTTTATGAAATTAGAATATTATTAATCGCTGATCTGGCTAAGATCAGCACTATTCTCATATAGAAAATCAGGGTTAAATTTGCCGATCTGATACTGATACACAAAATTTTAAAAAGGATATTTCATAAACGACGCACAAACTTTAAATAATTGACACATAATATACTAAAAAAATACTCGAAAAAACCGAATCTGGCAAAAAAAATTATACGTTTATATGTAAAATAACAACTTTTCTATACGGGCGCATCAGATTTACGTTTTGAATAAAATAGAATTTCGTTATTTTACTGTATTTTATTATATTATTTACATAAAAACAAGCACAATTTGGCATTTTAACTTGTTTCCAAAGACTCTCTTGCATTCAAGGTATGTTTTGCTGCTTCAATTGCTTGAAGTGCCATTGCATGTTTCCAGCCTCGTGAAAAGAAGTAATCCAATTTGCAATAGTAGATTCCTTTGGTATATCTTCCTCCTCTATTTCTCCTTCTTGTACTCATTGCATTAATTCACATCGCATCTCTGCAGTTGTCATTTTATTTCTTGGGTTTGCAGTTCCTGCATGAAACATTGTTTCAAGAAGTTGCTTGATATATATAGGGATTCGTTTCACTGGTTCTCTAACTTTTTGGTGTTGTTGCAATATCCAACTAGAAATAAATCTTCTCAACTAAATAATAATAATTGCTGGTGAGTTTATTTAAAATTGATATTCAATTTCTTATTATGAATTACCATACTCTTTGCATTCCAAATTTACTTCTGCTTCATTCATTATATCCACATGTTCCTGTATTATACAATATATTTTGTTATTTTTTTTTTATCAATTAGAATCATTTATTTCACAACTTACTAATTCATTTGTCAAATCCTTTAAATTTTTATCAATAATATCTTGAATATTATATAGAGTGGGATTTAGAATTTTCTAATATCATTTAGATATTGATGTAAAGAATACTTCAATACTTTGATGATCAGTTCCTAGTACAGTCCATGGTTTTAGGGGATTTGAATGCATTGAAATAGTAGGATTAGGTTTGGTAATTATTCGATTTTTAACAATTTTTTGAATTTTATTAGGGGAAAACTTATTCAATTCTCCAAATTTTAGCAAAGGTCATGCATAAATGTAACCAGTTTCTTCACCATTATATACCCAGGTAAATTCATTCCAATTACGAATTCCTGCAATTGTTCCCATTTTTTGTCTTGTACTAACGTTATTTTCTATAAATTATAAAAAACATTAGTTACATTTCAAAATTTAGTATTATCATGCAATATATTACATGATATATTTGCCTTGCTCTCGATTAGGTTGAAGATTTGCCACATGGATACCAGATAGATCTTTGATTGCCATTTCAATATCTTTACCAGAAGCAATCTCATAACCAAGTTTAACATACCGGTTGATAGCATGTGTAATCTCAACAGAAAATTTTTGATTACATTACAATACATCATAAAAAAAGGTAAAGTAAATTACTTACTTGAGCATGATGTGAGTCTATTGCTGTTTTTGCTTCACTAGCTTCCAAAAAAATCCACTTTTTAATACAAACATTATACCATTCTTTCCAATGTGATAATATTATCATTAGTTCTGTATTATGATAATGTTCACCATTATCAGATATAATGATTACAAATTTAGGTTTTTTTTCAAGTGTTTCAATTACTCCATGTAGAAAAGATGCCGTAAACCAAGCATCTTGTTTGGTATCTCCACTCCAATGATCAAAAGCATTGACATTGAAATTGTTAGTATTTTGATTTTTAATATATAATAAAACAGAATGCAAAGTTCATCCACGTTTGCCAAACTATTCATCCTTTGTTTCTTTTGCTTTTTTAGGATTAATACGCATTTTATAATCCACAATAATCAAAGCTTCATCAGAATCAAGTTGGGAAAGAATAGAAGGTAATTGTGCATTTAGGTATACTTTACGAGCATGATGTGACATAAATGAAATCAATTTTTTTTGATATTCATCAAGATTTTTATGTAGATTTGACGGTAAATGATTTTTCAAATTTTTGAAAAAAATAAAGAGACTTTCACAATCCATGCATGTATTAAAATGCATTTCTTGACAATTGCCAAATGCATATGGAAGGCAATGTGATGTACAAGAATTATGTATTGCAATTCCATTTTTTGTTACATTCAATTTTTTAGGATAATCTTTTCTAAGGTAACGTCATAAACTTTGAGCAATAGCAACCAATTCATTCTATTATAAGAAAAAAAATAACTAAAATAAGAATATTATTGAATTAACAGATATTTAAATTATCAAAATCTTACCTGAAATACTAGGTTTGTAATATTGACATTTATTAATTCTTCAATATTTGCAAATACTTGATATCCACATTCATTGCATTCTGAACAAAGCCCACTTAGATTTTCTTTGTACACAAAGTGCTTTTCATCTAATCTTACCATAAAAGATGTTCTTTGCATTCCATTTGGATATTGTTCATGAAATTTATTCCATAATGTTTTTTTATGATCTTATAAGTATAATACAGGCAATTCACTAATATTATCAATTTTATAAGAACTTATATTAATGTGTTCTTTTGTAGAAAAAAATAATTCAAATTGCTGCAACTGTTCAGTAGTAAATTTTATTTGGCAAAAACTTGGTTTATTCAATGGAGGTGTATCATAACCACTTATTCGCACATGTTTACGTGATTCTAAAATGGTATATCGTCCAACCTTTATCAAAGAATTATTGAATTGTTTTTAGTAAATTATT